ATAGATAGATAGATAGATAGATAGATAGATAGATAGATAGATAGATATGTATGTATTTTGAATTAAATGTTAGTTTATTTTTCAAGGCATAGCTTCAGTAAATGACACTTCACTTGCATTAAATCAATATTACGTCAATAATATAATCATTTTCAGGTACAAGTTATACATTTTGTTATAAGGAGCATGGCTTTTTAACAAATAAAGAAACGAGTTCAAAGCAAAGTAAACTTGAACTCCAGCTCCGTCACTGTTATACTTTGCTGCCATCTTCTGACTAAACTGACAGATGAAAAACGAGATGCATTGAAGTTTCAAACATGATAAAAGATAGGAGAAGTTTTACATATCTGCTTCACTCCTGCTCCAGATGTAAAGGTAACTAAGACACTGAGGCACCAGATACATGTAAAATACATGTTATAGTATGAACGCAGAGAAAAGCTCCCTCTGATGTACCTGTATGAGAGCTCATCTTTGATGGCTGGTTGAACTCTTTAATGTTAGAAATGCTTTGCTTTTTTTATTTGTAACAATAAGCAGCACGCTTTGTTCAAACACACCTATAGTCTCTAGGCATACACATCAGGCCGCTGAGCTGACTCGTCTGACAATAAATTCCAGGCACTTGGTAATAAAATAAAATAATCACATTTAGAATAACTTTTAAAGCATATTTCTAAGTCTGTTTTTTCCAGCAGAAAACACAAACATTACTGACTTTGCTAAAAAAAACAATAAAAAAAAAAGAGTTCTATTTTAGTCCAACCAACATTGATTTCTGGTTGAAGCTGGTTCAAAAGTAATATAAAGTTTGTTTTTTAAAAACTTTAAAGACCTGGTGGATGCTTTCCTAATGTCAGTTTGTTTAACTGTGAATGAATGTGAAGCTGCTACGGAAGCACAATGCTGCCAACACAAATAATATAGAACGCATCAAGTGAAGTGTTTATTGTTCAAATGTAATGTTTATGTAACATTATATTTCTGTTTTTACTAAATATTTTTAAGTAATAAAAATTAATTTACACTATTACAACACACATACTTATGGCAGTATAACAAAAGACAAATGTCACATTATTGTACTAGAATAGTGTGAATGTTTATGAAGCCTTCACTCTACTGTGATCCATTTTCTTCTGCACATTTTTCGGCGTGATTCTCATCCCGCAGTTTTCAAGCTATTTCAGCATATCATATCAAAACATTCAGCTCTTTCAGGACAATCCTGCTATGACTTTTGGTATTGGTGCACCTTTAGCTTTGTTAAATATTTAGCTTTTTCTGCCATTTTTTTTTCTCAATAGAAATGGCTCAAGCTCATTTTACATCCTTCAAATCTTTAGATCTGTTTACAACCTTTAAATGCTCCTTTCACATTTTGTTCTGGTTCAACTTCTTTCAGCTTCCTTGTGCAAATTTAAACTTTTTTTCAGCTACTCTCAGCTACTTTCAGCTGTTTTTCCATCTGTTTTGTGGTGCTTTTAGCTTCTTTCTGCTAACTACAATATTTTTGTGTTTCTTCTAACTTCTTTCTGCTTATTCAACTTATTATGGTCCTTTCAGCTTTATTCTGCAAGTTTCAGCTTTTTCTACTATTTCAGCTATTATTTAGCAGTTTTTATGCTAATTTAAGCTTTTTCAGCTAATTTTCAGCCAATTTTTGCGTTCATTTAAACTTTTCAGCGTAACTAAGCAAAAATGTGATCGGTCCACTTCATTTTTGTAATCTCAGCTTCTTTTTGCTTTTTTAATCTACTTTTTTTTTTTTTACTGTGTTTTGCTTATTTCTGCTTTTGGCATATAATTTCCACTTAATTGTGCTCATTTCTGCTTCTTTCAGCATAGTTGGGAAAACATGTTCTTTCTGCTTTGTTATGCTAATTTAAACTTGTCCTAACTTTTCAACTACCGTTTTAGCAAATTTTAGCTGTTCCAGATAAATTCATGTTACTTTTAGCCTAATTAACTTCTTTCTGCTAATTTCAGCTTGTTATGCTCCTTTCAGCTTTATCTGCTAGTTTCAGTTATTTCAGCTACTTTCAGCTACAACTAACTCATCTTAAAGCAAATTTGTACTCATTGTATTTTAATACAGCATGAAAGTTTACTTACAGAGTTAATGTTTCTGCTGCATGGTGACTTCCATGTGCCATCCACAAGTCTGCGCCCCACTGAGCTTTCCATAGTTTATAGTCACTATCAATGGAATGAATCTCCGGAATAGGGCTGGGCAATATCTCGAAATTTTAAAAATATGGCGATAATTTCATTTGCGATATAAGATGAGACTATATCGATATACAGTAGTCCCTCGCGGTTCGTTTTTTTCACGGATTCGCTATATTGCGGTTTTTCAAAGTAAGGTTGGACATGACACAATCGGCTGATTGAAGGATGATTGTTTATTTAAAATTAATTATTTTCAATAAGTTTACACTTGTGTGCTATTAGCCCGGGACCTAACACTATTAGCTTCTGAACTGACATCATATAAATTAGCTCTGTAGCTAACAATATAAATATATATTTTCTGTTTGAAAGTTTTTGTTGTAAACTTAATGCAATAGCCAAATTTAATATCCACAGCTGTACATTTTCTATGCTAAAACCAAGATTTACAGTTTTTTTTTTTATTATATTTCTTCTTATCTGCATGTCCACTGTACCAATGCATAAGTAAGTAAGTAAGTAAACTTAATTTATATAGCACTTTTCAGATACAATCACAAAGTGCCTTACAGAAATACAAAATACAAGCTTAAAATAAAACAAAAACAATAATAAAAGCTCTAAAAAAGTTAAATCTGGTCCTCTGGACATTCAAAAAAAAAAAAAAAAAGCAAAACAACAAAAAATGTAGAAACGTTTCGTCTCTCATCCAAGAGACTTCCTCAGTCTGAGGTGCTGTATTCAGCTCAGTCTCTTAAATAGCATCGTCTCAGAGTGGATCAACCACTGGTTGATCAGCTGGTTTTGGTTGTCAGCAGCAAAACTGGTTGATCCACTCTGAGAAGGTGCTATTTAAGAGACTGAGCTGAATACAGCACCTCAGACTGAGGAAGTCTCTCGGATGAGAGACGAAACGTTTCTACATTTTTCTGTTGATTTGCTTTGTTTTGTTTTTTTTGAATGTCCAGAGGACCAGATTTAACTTTTTTAGATTTTTCTACCTGGATTATTGAGCATGCATCAGGAAATAATAAAAGCCTTAAAGACTAAAACACACTGTAATGAATTTCTAGTGTAACCTGCCCAAACCATATTTTCACTTTCATTAGTTGCTTGCATTTATTCTATATTCAGCAGATCAGTTGCTGTTGGTCGTCCCAAAGTCTAACAGGAGGCTGAGAGGTGATTGAGCGTTTGGAGTGTCTGCCCCTAAACTGTGGAACAAGCGTCCTTTGCGCGACTCACTTCCTGTTTTTAAATCTTCTCTGAAAACACTTTTTTTCCTCTTTGGCTTTTAACTCGGCTTGAAATAATGGTTTTACTGATTTTAAGTTACTGCATTTGTTTTTACTGTTTGCTGTTTTATGATTTTGGTAGTTCATTACTTTTACAGTATCGGTTGATATGATTTTTAGGCCTGCTTGTGTGATAGTGTACAGCACTTTGTATCGTATGCTCATGCCTGTTAAGGCCCGTGTTTGCTGTTGCAATATTTTGTTGTATTGTACTTACTTTGTATAAATAAAGGTTGTTTAATAAAACCAGTGTGGACTTCAATCTTATGCCAGCTGAATTTATTGCAGTCTAGCTGCGACTCTGACATGTTTATCTCGGGACATGAACCCGGAAGTGTCGGGGTTCGCACATGCGCAGTTGCGCACCTGTTGCCTTACCGCACTGTACTGTAGTTACATAACTGGAAGTAGCTTGTCGGCTCGGCAGATAGCGTTGCTCTCCACAGGGCTTCTCAAAATGGCATTTTTTCAGTTACTTTTGAGCTTTTTCTCCAAGGCACTTTTAATTCTGTCTGTTTTTCTTTTCATAGCATTTCTCATTTACTGCTTGTATGTTAAATACATCCACATGAAATACGACCACATACCCGGACCACCGAGAGAAAGGTAAGGTTAATGATAGCTAAAGTTTGTTCTGACATTAGTCCTGACAGCTTTTTGTTTTCTTTTATTTTAGCTTCTTTTTCGGACACACACCAACACTTTTGAAGACTATGAATAATGGATTAGTACATGACAAATTCCTTGAATGGTAAGTCACGCACTGACTAAAGAATAGTAATAAGAGAGTAGTTTTTGAGAAGTTTCTGTATAAATAGTATAAATGGTGCTTGGTTTATAAGAACTTGTTACATAACGCAGGCATAACTAGATTTGCAGACGTAATGGATTCATTATTTACAATAAAAATAAATAAAATATAATTTACAGGTCTGAGACTTATGGGCCTGTTTACAGAATAAATGCTCTGCATTACGTTTCTGTGTGTGTGACCTGTCCAGAAGCAACAAAGGTGAGCACTTTTCTAAAACAGTGAAAAACAGTGTGAAACAACAAGTTTAAGTTCTTGCAACTGAAAAAATGCTCTTCTGCTGCACTTACTACCATCCACCATTATTTACTTTTTTATTGGTTCTGGTTTCAGGAAATCATGATGTCCCCAAAGTACCCAAAGGACAAGTTTGTGTACAACAGACTCTTCTACCTGTTCGGTGAAAGGTAGCTGTCAGACTGTCGGAATATTGATTCACATTTATTTATTCATCATTCAGCTGTCAGACATGGAAGAATGCCATGTGTTGAACAGATACAAATTACAGACAATATTCTGTAATTCAATTACAAAGTACATACCTATTTTAAATCTTTCTGTTCAAGCAAAAATGTTTGAGTCATTTGTGTCTGTCCAGTTCAAATATTTACTTCAAAATAACAACATTTTTAACAATTTCCAATCTGGCTTCAAGGCAGGACACAGTACAACAATCAAATAAACATATTCAGTCCGTTTGTTCTATTTGGCTCAGTTTTGTCAGATGCAATCACTGAACAAGGGGGGGTCCCACAAGGGTCTATTTTAGGGCCCCTGCTCTTTTTACTCTATATTAATAAAATCTGTGTTCAGCTTAAATTCTCCTCTTACCATATGTACACAGATGATACAGTTCTATACTCGTCAGTGCCCTCTAGATGCAGTACACTCAAATCTTCAGACTGATTTCAACACCTTACAGAATTCTCTCCATGAGTCAAAATTAGTCCTGAATGATAGCAAAACCAATGCTATGTTGTTTTCCCATAGTTCTGCAGTAACCATTCCTTCTATTAAAACACTGAATGGTGATATCATAGAGCTTGTAGAGTAGACACATACAAATATCTTGGTATTTGGCTGGATAAAGATCTTAATTTTAAATATCACATTACATAGCTAATTAAAAAAGCTAAAATTTACTCTGGTTCTTGTATAGACTGAAATCACGTTTTTATATTTCTTCCTGTAAGCAGCTTGTAACAAATTTGTTTTTATCACATGTGGATTACAGACACACAATCTGTAGGTTTGCCTCCCTTAGCTAAACTGGACTCCATGTACCATGCTGCTCTGAAGTTTATAACTGGTTCACCCTTTAGGACTCACCACCACTTTTTATAACCTTGCTGGACTTACTTCACTCAATAAAAGATGAAGTGTTTGTATATTTTCATATACAAAGCCATTTTAGGAAAATTACCATCATATATCAACTCCAAGTTCATTTCACTACAAACACTCACAGTCTCGGGGCCAGCTGGCTGTGGTTTAATGTACCCTCTGTGCACACGGAGTCAGGAAAGATAAGCATGTCCTATTTGGGCCCGTGGTCTTGGAATGATCTGCAGCCCAAGTTAAAGATGGAGTCTTTTATTCCTTTATCTAGTTTTAAACAAAAACTGTCAGAGGTTTTAGTCACATCTTGCACCTGTAATGTTTCAGTGTCTTTAATTGTGACATTTTTTTAAACTTGCATTGTATTTTATGTCTTATTACCGGATGTTTTGTTTAGGGGTGCACTGATAAATCGCCCCCGATTTCCTTAATTTTGGGAAATCGGAAAACGGCCGATACTTGCATGAGAAACCGATTTTACCAATTTTTTTTGTTTTAACAACAATTGTTTGAACTTCATTTATATTTCTGAGCACTACCTCATGGCCAGTTAAAACAAGTTTGTGTTGTTCTAGGATATTGTTCAAGGGTGTGTTTTTCAATAAAATAATATTGGAAAATTGAAGGTACGTTGTGACCTTACAACACCCGACAGTGTCGCTTATAAAACAAAATCGGAATCGGCAGGTCAGACTTTTTAGAGATTGGTGATCGGCCAGAAAACTGCAAATCGGTGCACCCCTAGTTTTGTTGTAAATATTTAAATATGTTTTTATATAACACCTTTCTATCTTATCAAGATACTCAAAGCTCTTTACAACACAATCTGTGCCGTCATTTACCCATTCATACAGCACTCTACTAGATCTATACAGAGATTAATTAGAGCTTGATCACATTCATACACCAATGGGACACACACCGGAGGCAGAGGGGTTCAGTGTCTTGCCCAGGGACACTTGGCATGTGACTGCTGGTGGAATCGAACCCCCAACTCTTGCATCGGAAGCTGACTGCTCTAACCACTCAGCCACAGCTGCCACAAATACTGCTGTTACTGTTATTAAGACTGTTGCTGTAAATGTAATGACTTGTTTGCACATTGCCCAGGACATCCTTGTAAAAGAGATTAATAATCTCAATAGATTTGCTTCCTAGTAGGCTATAAATGACCAGAGTACCTAGAATCCCAGGATATGCAAAGTGCAGAGGGCAGCTTTATGGAGTTCAGGGAATAAGCTGTTCTTTGGCTTTACTTTGTGGCTGCGCAACCTTTTTCTCAGTGACAGAAAGTTGGATAGTCCATAAACTACCGGTAATCTCATTTCATGGGTTTGTCATCTGATATTGGAAGATATTATAACTTCAATTCCAGATTTGAATGGGGTTAAACAATGACAACCCTCTGGTGTCATTTTTATAAGGTTCACACACCTGTCTGTTTATAGGTTTTTTGGAAATGGTCTGATAACAGCACAGAATCATGAGGTGTGGTACAAACAGCGCCGGATCATGGATCCTGCCTTCAGCAGCCTGTGAGTTTAGTTTATAATCATTACTTTTTAGATAATGTCATTGTTTATCCTGCTCAGTTTGTAGAAAATGATTTTTTTTTTTTTTTTCTGTGAGATATAATTTAATTACACCATGTGTAGGAAATTTTGCAGTTATCTTCTAGGTGTGTTTTTCTTGTTTGAACCTATCATTCCTTCCAGATATTTGAGAGGTCTAATGGGGATCTTCAATGAGAGGGCAGAGAAACTGATGGACAAGCTTGTAGAAGTTGCTGATAACAATACAGAGGTCAACATGCTGCACCTTGTCAACTGTGTCACCCTTGATGTGATTGCTAAGGTATGATCAAGCCTGACCCAATAAATAAATCTGGAAAAAAAATTAGTGACAAAACCACCGGCTTAAATACTTCTCTTGCTATATTACTATACATATCGTCATGAGAAAAATTAAGTCCGTCCTCTTTCTAGATATTTTTGTCTCCCATCGCAGAGCAAACAGTGGGAATTGGAAAACCCTCTGTCCATCCGTTCATGAATGTTGTGAGCATGATAACTGGATAATTAGTGAGATACCGACTTCCATTTTGGTGTGTGGCTGCATCTGGGCATTAGAAAGCTTCCTAATGAAAATTTGATTGCCACGTCAAAAGATAGCCACCACCAGTGGTGGGCACAGCTAATCAAAACGTTAGCTTTGCTAACCACTAATTCGCTAACTAAAAATTAGCTTTGTTAAAGCTAAACACAAAAAAAAAATGATCAGAAGCTAACGCTAAAGCGCTAGCTCTTATCCACTGCTGTCACTGTAGGCCATGTTGTATGTGAACACAACTCAGAACAGTTCATAAATCACTACTTGTGATTTATGAATTTTACTATTCACAAGTAAAGTGTCCATGTCCCGTTCAGAGGCAAGCTTTCAGAAATTAATCCGGTCCATCGGAACCAAAGAAGCGGAGGAGAACTTGGCTGTGCCAAAGCAGAGCGATGCATTCAATGTGTGTCAGACATCTCCCTCGTGTCATTTATTATAATGAATTAACTCACTGTGGCATTCTTCTTTGTGGTTAACTACTTTTATAAACTAGCTACAAAGTTGCTGTGTGTCATCATCAATATTTTCTCAGTAAAATCTGTTTGTATTAAATTAAAGATGTGTGAAGAAATGTGTGAGAAAGTTACATCCCAGCCCCATTGTTGACAACAAAAAACAGTGTTTAGGCCAACACCTCATGCCAGCTGTCAAACACAGTGATGGAAGGATGATAATGTGGGCTTGTTTTGCAGCCACAGAACCTGAGCACCGTGCAGTCATTGAGTCTTCCAAGAGCTCCTCTGTAGACCAAAAGGATTTTAGAGTCAAATGTGAAGCCATCTGTTCAGCAGCTGAAACTTAGACTATGTGTCCTAAAGCAACAGAACAACATTTTCAAACACAGCAGTCTTTCTACAACAGAATGGCTAAAAAAAACATCTAGGTGTTGCAATGGTCCATTAAAGTCCAGAGCTTAACCCGATTCAAAATATGTAGTGGAACTTTAATAGAGCTGTGTAGAAACAACGTGTGTAAACTCAGAGAACTGAAGCAGTGCTGTAAAGAAGTGTGCCAAAAATCCTCCACAACCACTTGAGAGACCTTTAAAGTCATACAGAAAACTACAGTATTACTGAGAGTTATTGCTACTGAATTTTTGGACTTTGTTTTTATACACATAGCTTTTACATTTCTCTTTTGTAAATTATGATCTAAAACCTTAGAATTCAAAAAGGTGGACTTGGTTCTCCCCATGACATTATGCATGCTTGTTTATCCATAAACTTCAGGTTGCATTTGGCATGGATTTGGACCTCCTGACAAATAGTTCACCTTTCCCTAAAGCCATTGCGATTTGTCTCAAAGGGATGATGTACTACGTTAGAGACATGATGTTTCAGGTAATGCTTCGCTTAATTTGAAAAATGTGCTACAACAACCTTGTGAACAGTATCTTGTTTGACATTTTAAGTCTGCTTATTCTAGTTCAAGCCAAAGAACAGACGATTCGTAAAGGAAGTGAAGGAAGCATGTCACCTGCTGCGCAAAACCGGAGCCCAGGTGATCCAGGAGAGAAAGACCGCCATGCAGAACGGTGAAGATGTCCCAAAGGACATCCTCACACAGATCATCAAAACAGCTGCTACAGGTTAGAATAAAAATTAGAAAATCTGAGCAACATTGTCCCAGCATTATCTCAGCTAACATCAGCTTATTGCCTTGTCCATTCTTATGTTGTAACTGAAGAATGCATCACCCAGGAAGACGAGGAGTTTATGTTGGACAACTTTGTGACATTATTTATTGCTGGTGAGTTTTTTTATTTTTTTAGATGTGATAAACTGCTTCAAACTGAGCTTGAAACTGCTTTTTGGTATAAAGCAATGTTTAATTAATATGCACAAGACAGAGTGCATGTGTGATTGAGAGGGAAGCAGGTGGAACAGTGAGTCTACAAGGAACAGGGTTCACAAAGGTGCTGGACTTCAAGTACTTTGGGTCCACTGTCCAGGAAAATGGGGAGTGTGGTAAAGAGGTGAAGAAGAGATTCCAGGCAGGATGGAGTGGATGGAGATAAGTTTCAGCAAAGGTCAAAGGAAAAGTTTACAAGAGAGTGGTGAGACCAGTGTTGGTATGGTCTGGAGACAGTGGCATTGACAAAAAGACAGGAGAAAGAACTGGAAGTGGCAGAAATGATGATGTTGAGGTTCTCCTTAGGAGTGACCATACCTAGTCGCTTTTCAGCGAAATTCGATGATTTCAAACTAAAATATGTAATTTCTGTGAATCATCTAGATCCAATAGTTTTTTTGGGGGGGTGGTGTCAGGCATGGTGGTCAATGGCATAATTTCCCTTTAAGAAACGGTGTTCCTCCTTGGTCTCTTGGCTCAGCAGGTGCTCATCTCTTGGGGGGGGGGGGGGGGGGGTGGTGCGGGGGGGGGGGGAGAAGTGGGAGACATCTCCGTGTTGCGCGCTAGCTTACAGCAAGTTGTTGATCGGTGGGGTTGGGGGGTGTTAGGATGTGTGAAAGAAATGGAGCGTGTAGCGCATCTGTATGATGTGGGGCAAGATTTTGCCTTAAGAATTGAAAAGGCCAGCTCATGGTGTTCTAGAGAATGTCTTGAAGGAGAAATAGGTGTTATGTAGGGGGTGCACTGATTCTGGCCGATAGACGATTTCTAAAAAGTCGGACCTGCCAATACCGGTTTTGTTTTATAAGCGACACTGTCAGGTATTAAAAGGTCACAATGCGGGAAGTTGGCGGCACAGACGGGCAGAACAAGAACTACACAGATTTTCAAGTCTAATAATACTTGATGGTTGCGACAGAACCACTTTAACCATCGTAAATTGTAAAACTCGCGATGCATTGACTATATTCTATACATGGCCCAGCCCTACAGACATTCTGGGCGTTTGGAAATGGGGAGCTGCTACGCCTGCCTGCGCACTCCACTCGTGACCTAGCGGCGTTTTGGGCCACGTTTAAAAGTTTCTCATTTCAGGACATATGTGCAGTGGTGAGTTGGTCCTCACCACTCCTTTTTGCTTGATTTTATAATTTGGATGTCTTTGTCTAAAACATCCAAGTGTGCGGTTTGCTGTGTTAAACTTTGGGCCTTTACTGGAGCAGTGGGCACCTAATGAGTTCTGATGGTTGCCAAAGATAAGCTGTCTGGCAACACTGCAGTCTCCATATCCCGTGGTGAGACATTCAAACAAATGCAATGAATAAGAATGTTAAGTTACACAACCCCAGTTCACAAAGTAGCATGAGTGTTGCTCACCAGACAGGTGAAGCAAGAACATATGTTTAATTTGAATTACTGTGTGTTGTAGCCTAGACATGATTGGTGTAATGAGATAAATTCTTCTGGCCCTATTTACACAATGACACTTTTAGGTGAAACTGTCACATGTCAGCTGTCATTCAGCACTCAGCATTCACATTGCATTTTCACAAATGATGCATTGTTTTCTAGTCTATAATTCAGTGGTAAGGATAGAAACAATTCACACTAGGTATTGACTACTGGACTAATAATTATTTTTACTTTTGGTAATAGGCCACACTTTCAGAACTGTTGCATCTCTAGTCGTTAGCGTTGATCTAATTTGTGTATTTTATATGAGGAGCTCTTTAAAAATCTACATTTTGGTGTACTGTAAACCATTGCAACCACTTTCTATTAGGTTGCGTGATGCTATTCTGTTTTAAGTTTATGTTCCAATTCACATTCGTCTAAACTTCTGCATTGTAGGTCAAGAAACAACAGCTAACCAGTTATCATTCTGCATCATGGAACTTGGACGACAGCCTGAAATTCTGGAGAAGTATGAGATAATAACCCAGTTGTTGTTAGTTTGGTATCTAGTTGGTGAAGAATGGTTTCTCAAGTTGAGTTTCTACATTTTAGACTGAGGAATGAAGTGGATGAGGTGATTGGGATGAAGCAAAACGTTAGCTATGATGACCTCGGGAAACTGACCTACCTCTCACAGGTACATAGCATAAAAATGCAAATTTGTATTTAATGTCCTGACTGATGTTTATCCTCATGTTCATTCGTGCAGCTTCTGTTACAAATTCAATCAGGCCATATTTTTCTTTGAACACTTTGATTTTACTCTGACCTTCTAGTTCAGAGTTCTTTATGAATGTGTTTACTGTTGTATAAGGAACGACTACCATAGTCCTCCCATTGTAAACCTCCCACAGGTGCTAAAAGAGACACTGAGACTCTACCCAACTGCTCCAGGGACAAATCGTCAGATTGATGAAGACATGGTGATTGATGGTGTCCATATCCCCGGTGGAGTTGGCTGTATGGTGAGTTTTTTTAAACATTCTTGTAGCTCTAAAGCAGTGGTCCCCAACCTTTCCGGTTTGATGTCAGACAATATCTTCACCGGGGGGGGGGGGGGGGGGGGGTCTGGGTGTCGTCCCCAACAGAATTTTGAATCAAGTAGATGCCAGTTCCTGCATTCTGGTGTATTTTACAAACATTTAAAACATTTTTCACTTCAAATACTCTGACTGCACGACAAACGGCTTCATGAGCTGAGATCATCGTCTGATCAGTTCGGTGAAAGTTCAGAGAACTCCTGCAGTGATTCACACATCAGATTGTTCACAAAACAACAGGAACTTATGCCTAGTGCAAAACGTTTAATTGTATTTTTGTGTTTTATAATAAAATTTACCCATGACTTTGAACTTTTAAGGGCAGAGATTTTTTTGAGCAGAAGCAAAAATGTGAAGTGACAGCTCTGATGTGATATTAGGAAGCTTGTTAAAGTTATAGTTTTATTTAGTTATAGTTTCATAGTCAATCTTTGTCAGGCGGGTTGAAAAATATGCAGCATAATCCTTCAAAATGCACCGAGGCTGCGCACCTCCACCTGTCTGCTCCACACCACGTAGCTGAATTGCTTTGTTCTTCAACAGCAATGTAGAACTGATATGTGCATGCGCCGCAGAAACTGAAACTAACCACTTGTGTATGTTGACCTGCATCAAGAGTGAGTCACAGACTGATGTGGTAGAGAGAATCCAGTGATTTTTCAAAATAAAACTTTTTTTTTCCCCTTCTGTGTGGCCCGGTACCCACTGACCGGTACCGGTCTGCAGCCCGGGGGTTGAGGACCACTGCTATAAAGCAAAAAATGATTTTCTGCTAAATGTTATTGTATAATCGTGGCAGCAATCATGTGTTTAACAAAATAAAACTCATTTCTAGGCCACCTAAAAAAGAGTTTCCAGATTTTTACCTGCAATTACTATTTTTTCATATTCAGTTTAGCACCTATGTAACTGGGAGAATGGAGAAATTCTTCAACGACCCTCTGAAGTTTGATCCAGACCGATTTCACCCAGACGCTCCCAAGTAAGTACCATAGTTGCCGGTTTATAGAACACACCTGACTGTAAGCCACTAAATTTAAAGTGAATCAATTTTGTACATAACTAAGATGTGCTGTTGTATAATCCACTGGTGTTCACAACTTTATATCAGAAGCTACACAGCTCCCGGTAGAATGTGCGGTTCTTGTACTAGAATCATCCACCAGATGGTGTTTCATAAACTCTAGTTGGAGTTCAACTAGGGGTGCATCGATTGCAGTTTTCTGGCCGATCACCGTTTTCTAACAAGTCTGACCTGCCCATTCTGATTTTGGCCGAAACAATTTTGTTTTCTAAGCGACAGTGTCAGGTGTTATAAGGTCACAATGAACCTTCAATTTTCCAGTCTTGATGACAAACATACCCTTGAACAATATCCTAGAAACAATACAAACTTGTTTTAACTGGCCAGGACGTAGGGCTCTGAAATATAAATGAACTTCAGACAATTGTTGTTAAAACAAACAACAACAAAAAAAGGTAAAATCAATTTCTCATGCAGCATCGGCTGATTTCCCAAAATTAAGGAAATCTGGGCCAGTTTATCGGTGCACCCCTACTTGCAACACACACAAACTGCGTGATCGCCACAAGTCTTCACAATGACGCAATCTCTGACTCATGGTTCTCCCAAAAATGAAACTTGTACAGATTACATAAATTAATTTTTTTTCGTATTTATTTACCTGGATGATTGAGCTTGTAAACCTTTTTGTCTTGTGATGTCTTCACAGTATTCTAATTTTTTGAATTCCTGTTTTCGTGGTTTTCATGAGCTGGAAGCTCAAATTATATAAAAATACACAAATAAATACTTGAAATTGTTTAAATTGTGAGTCCTGAATCTATCATCTATTACAGTTTAACGTGTTGAATGGAATTATGGAAGTTAAACAACTTTTCCATGATATTCAAATTTTTTGGAATGGGTCTGTAGTCTATGTAATCCACTTTAAATGATCTATTCTTTATGAAACAATAAATCTAGGCTTTTTGCCCATGTGAGATTATCTCAGTGATACATGTTATTACTCCAAACTGAACTCATGCAACTAGTTGTTGAAGCATGGATTTATTTTATTTATTTCATGACCATATGCATTAATTTGAACAACTCTAACTGCAAGAGTTCTTAGCTCCTCTTAAAGCTCTACATTTCCTCCCTCTGTACCTGGATAGTCCTGCAGCCCTGAAGAACTCCTCCAGAGCAGCAGCACCTGACTCTTTGCTCTCTTCCTTTGTCCGCCTCGTATTCTGTGTTGCGATTTAACCTGAAGTGTTTTACAAGGGTTGTTTTGTTGCTGCAGCTCTTTACAGATTTTCCACAAACCTCACAAAGCGCTTCTTGGCTGTTTTGGGAGCTGAAATAACTCCACACATGACTCCGTTATGCTCCGCCGCTGTGTCTACAGACTGGGAGAAGGAGCTGCGTGCCGCTGTGCTTACACGCATTACGCACTTACCCAGGCAGAAGAAAAAGTAGTTCCCACCAACCGCGTATCATTTAGACAAGATCTCATCTTCTTGTTAATGATATGCATTACCTGAAATGACTGAAGTGTCAACAGTATCGATAGTTTGATTTAAGAATCGATTCTAGAACGAAAAGTTCTGGTATCGATAGAATCAATATTTTAGTATCTGTCTGCACATCACTAGTCAGAGGGAAATGTTATTTGGTGACAGGAAGCTTTGCATCCTGTCAAAATAACATATTAAAATTAACAAAAAATACACATTAGCCTCCTGTGTACAAGCTGCAGAGTCCAAAGCTTGAGGAAAAAGTTGTGGCTTTTACACCGGAAAGTACGGTGAAACAAAAGGTTTTCACGATGTCAGGTTTTAATTTCTGTGTGACTTTAGAAGCCATCATTGTGACAGATGAAATACGATAAACTTATGTATTTGATCTTTTTTACCAGGCCTTATTACTGCTACTACCCATTTGCCCTTGGTCCACGCTCATGCCTGGGACAGAACTTTGCTCAGGTGGGTGGGACAAAGATTACTCCCAATACATTTACAGTCACTATGTTTGCATAAACCCCAGCACAACTCATTGGGTGTGTGTTTTGCAGATGGAGGCCAAAGTTGTGATGGCAATGCTGCTTCAGAGGTTTGAGATAACCCTCGTCCCAGGACAGACCTTTGACATCGAGGACACTGGTACACTGAGACCCAAGAGTGGAGTGGTTTGCACCATCAAACACAGGAAGAACAAAGACTAAATGGTGATAAAGCTCTAAATGCTAAGTTTTGCTTAGTGTGTACTCCTGCTCCAGCCAGAATCTGCTTATGTATCAAATTCAGTTTTATTTTCTCTTGATTTTTTTGTAAGTCTATTTAATATCCACCCATTATCTCTACCTGCTTCTTCTTTCTGGTCGCGGGGGTCGCTTGTGCCTTTCTCCAGCTGTCACTGTGTGAGAAGTGGGGTACAACCTGGACAAGTCTCCAGTCCATCACAGAGACACACAGAGACAAACGAGACAATCAACCATTCACTCTCACTCACACCTAGGGACAGTTTAGAGTTATCTGTGAACATAACCTGCATGATTGTGGTCTGTGGGAGGAAACCAAAGTACCCTGAGAAAACCCACATATTCTCACAAACTTGCTTACTCCACCCAGAAGTGTCCTAGGTCGGGATATGATCCTACAAGCTTCTTGCTGAGAGGCTCTATCAACTGCTCCTCCATGGTTTATGTAGGGGTCAGGCACAGATTTCATTTTCACATACATACTAAACGTATTCTTTTCGGAGATTCCCCTCCTAAAGCATACAGAAAAATGTTGACTTTCACAAAACCTACATTTTTACAAGGTAAAAAGATAAGATAAGGTAAAAAAAGCAAGTGCTGACAGGCATTTATTAGCAACTCACAAGTGTTAACAATCGCAACAGAGTCACTTTTGCTTGACATTACTTTTTATTATTGGTCCAAACTTTCACTCTCAAACAGGAAGTGCTTTTCCCCCTTATACATACCAGGAACAACCTCTGACTCATGGTGTCAGTTTGCAGCCCACAAGAGAGAGTTTAACATAAATGCCAAAGCAAACCTGAACAGGACATTTAACAAGAACAAGCCATTTACAATCAAAAGCATTGAACACATTATTGCCACAAGGCTACCCAGCATCCTTTGCAGCTCACATAGTCTCTCTGGGATGCTAGTGCTAAGGTAAAATTATTGTCATTCCACATTTGTACACGTCTCAAAATGATTGAAAACGTACAGATACAGAGGTGCAGATGTTTCTGATAAACTACACACCTGAAACTAACCCTCTCTTAGAGCTGAGTGAAGCTGACACCCCACCCACTTCCAAAATTAAAGCAACTAGTCTGAATGGTTAGTGCTCCGTTAGTGCTGGTTTGTGCCGTTAAAATTTTCGTTAGTGCTGCTTTGCTTTCTGAGATATTAAAGATTAATTTTTAGCTCATCCAAAGGTCACAATCCCCCCATGTTGCTCCAAAACACACGGGAGTGGTCTACTTTTTTAGTGCTTCGTTAGTGCTTCGTTAGTGCTCGTTTGTTCCAGTGAAACTAGCGTTTGTGCAGCTTTAGTTTATGAGATATTAAGAATTATAATTTCGCCCGATGACGTCACCATCCCCCCCATGT